CAATTGCTTAAATGTAACAGTTATGCATGAATCATGTTTTAATTATTTGAAATTTATTTTTATTGACAATAACATATTTCTTCTGCCTTTCCTTAGWCCATCTGTGTCTGTTCWCACATGGTTGTCTKGATCGACTCATGACTATAAGTTTCTTGAGGCTATATGAAAACTCATTTATTTCATATTGTCTTAACATATTTATTGAAAAGCAAAAACAAATGAAGTAAAGTTTATGCAAAAATAAAACCAAAATAGGTGTTATTATTTTGGTTAGCTTTGTGTTAGGTTTTATTCATTTTTTGTTTTGACTTTCACAGGATCTTATCAATACAATGTCCCAGAATCATTACCTGTAGCCTCAGTTGTAGCCAGAATCAAAGCTGCTGATGCAGACATAGGCGTTAATGCAGAAATGGAATACAAAATTGTGGATGGTGATGGACTGGGGATTTTCAAGATATCTGTTGACAAAGATACACAGGAAGGCATCATTACAATACAGAAGGTAATGTTTTCTTTATTTTTMTTTTCTATGAGGGAAACGTCACACAGACTACTGAGAAGTCATGTCTGCCTTCCTGCAAGGATAGAGTAGACAAACTGTATAGCCACGTGGAAGTAATGACATTTTCATTTATCCTAAGAAAAGTTAGGCACTTACTTGCAGGTGGCAGAATCTTCAGGAAACTTGAATGGCGTTTGTAATAATGCCTGTCAATTCTGTTGTCTGTGTAAGACCATAGTACTTTCTATAGCACTGCTGACAATTAAGCACACTGACAAATGTGCTGCATGTTTCTTTGWCTATTCCACTAAAAATCCCCAAACTTAACATAAAGCCTTTTATGTAAACTAAATAAAAGCTATTGTTTTCTGTACACATGAGAATATTATAGAAAAAATGGAAGTAGACAGCAAAATAATAAAGACTTGCTATATTAGCAATTATTTTCTTTTAAAWTTTACAGCAATTATTCTTTTTAAATTTTTAGAATAATTGCTATACTCCTTTATTAAAAATACAGTAGTTTTATCTATCTATCTATCTATTCATTTATTTATTTGGTACAGAAATTGAACCCAGGGTGCTTAACCACTGAGCCACATTCCCAGCCTTTTTTWMMWTTTTTTATTTTGAGACAGGGTCTCGCTAAGTTTCTTAGGGGCTTGCTAAGTTGCTGAGGTTGGCTTTGAACTTGTAAACCTCCTACCTCAGCCTCCCAAGTCATTTGTATTTACTCACATGCATAGTGTACTTGGAAAATTTATAATAATTTAAAAATTTACATAACTTGAACAATTTGTATTAGAAGAGCATGGATAGCTCTGGAACCTATTATAATCCTTTAAATAAAGACAAGGGAAACAAAAACATGAACTCTTCAGCTCCTCTTCAATACATGTGCACAATCTTTGACAAATATTCAATTAAGAAAAAAAGGCCAAAAGATATTATGTGGGAATATGGGCTTTTTATATTAAATATTAGAAATAAATTTAAAAACATAAAATCAGAYYGCTTCCCAAACTGAGATGTTTTGCCAGCCTGACAATCCAGGTGCATAACTCTGTAATTAACAATCCTCAAYAACTATCACATCGGTAAAGAAAGTTAAATTTTAGTTTTGTAGTAAGACATATGTTTGATTTCAGGCCAATGGGCAAAATATTTCTGCAATTATTTCCAGTGGACAGCTGCTGTTTTAGCTCAGCTGGTAACAATCTTTGTACAAGTTTTAATAAGTAGAACAGGCCAACTGTTGGTAAAAAACAAATGTTTTGTTTTGTTGTCTAAAATAAAAGGAATGCAATCAGGTACACTGTTGCTCAAAGATTTCAAAGGTGCATGTGAAATCAATCTGCTCATGTTTAAGGATTTTTAGTACATATTGGAATTATTTTTACTGCATGCACACATATTTTATATATTTTGATGAAGATGTTATGARTCATCGAAAAGTATATATTTGGTATGAGATATTCAGTAATAGAAAAATAAAAATATATTCTCATTCCTTATTATCATTTAAATTTTAGAAAACTGTTAAAAAGCAAACCAGAAAAAAAGAAGACAAAAAAATCATTAAATCTTAAAGCATAAAATCCGTGAAAAATTATAAGATGAAATTTGATTCTAACTTATAATAACATCAAATAATACAAGTTATTATTATAAGTGATGATTAAAATCAGGCAGATATCTGAATTATTTAAATGCCTTATCATATATAATTTTCTTTTTGATCTCAGAGAKGTTTCGGGAGTACAGTAAAAACATGGACTTGTAAAATATCTGACATAAAATAAATTGTTACATGACTTATGATATTAAGGAATTTTTGCACTTCACCAAAGTGATGTGATGTTRTTAGCATATTAAGTCAATGGGAAATGTTTATATAAATCATGTAAAAAGAGCAGATTCAAAATTTTACAAACYTATGTTTAAATTTTTWAAAAATGTTATTCCTTCAGAATAAAGGATCACAATATAAACATTAAAATGTTAATACTATGATTTCTGGAACTTAGCTWTATTATTTTTCAATAACATATAATATGCATTACATTTTGTTATAATGAAAATTTATTAAGTATATAAAATGTTTCTAAATGGCCAAAACTAAATATATAACATTAGCAGTTTATCACTTTGACTACCATTGAGCATAGAACTTCTTTGCAMATGCACAAATAAGGGRTAGAGATGTTGATCAGGGTCTCCACATTGGTGTATACTGGGAATTCTCTTGAGTATTGAAAAGGACATCTTCCTGTGTCTCAAAAACACTCCACATTCTATAAACATTTATGTTAATAAAATTCTTATACTTGATACTAGAGATTCCCCACTCATATATACCAATCAAATGRTGCTTTACAAAATAAGACTGAATAATTGTTTATTGAAGACAGATTGCCATTATTTGTTTTGATAATTTATTTTTCTGAATACAATATAAGATTCTTCACAATTAAAAATAACTTATTTTCTCCAGTGTTTCCTAACAGATGAATTACCTCTAATTGTTCTTTCTTGTTTATATAATGTCAATGATATTTTTTTAATAATTAAGTACACCAGTGTATAGAATCTTAAGTAGCTATGAATGCCTAACATGTGTAAGACCCTCGGACTTGTCCCAAGTACACAGAAAAGAAAAGAAAGGAAGGGAGGAAGGAAGGAAAGAAAGAAGAAAGAAAAATTTTCATAATTTTASTATTATAGCATAAATAGCCAATAAAAATGTTAATTATTAATGGAACAAAAATAGTAACTTAGTCTAATAAATTAGCAATGATTAATTTCTTTCAAATACAGTTCCTCAAACTTGCTTTAACTTTGCTCTGGTGAAAGATTGATCTGGTTTCTGTTTTATCTTAAGACTAGAGATRCATTTACTATATTGGGTCAAAACCTTTAGATTCTGAGTTAAGCCATCTGCTGCTACGGATAGCATGAGCCTGAGACTTGCAGCCTGCCAGGTTTGATGATCATCATCTTCTGAGTGCAGGGTGCAGYATATTGAGCCAGGTGTGGGAATCTTTACTGTTAGAAATGGGGGAAACTGCTACCACCAGCAGGACAGAGACCCGCATGGTCCGTTGGAAGTGCAGATTATTTCAGCATGGGAACGAATGGGAACAGAATCTCAGGGATGTTATTTTTTGCACGCTAAAACTCTTTGGTMTTAGCRTTGTTAACTYTACACATTCCTTCTTCCCTTCACGTTTTCATGTGATTCTGAGTAAATAACAGTACTAGGGCTATTACTTGGCATACATCAGCCTGACTTGTTTCCAAAGCCCACTCTGACTCGAAACTCATTTATAAAAATTATAATTTTTTTTTAAATTTTCTGCCAATGCTTATATCTTGTAATGCCTAAGCTAAACTATTTAACTAAGAACTCTCACCTATACTGAAATAAACATAAGTAAGTAGTTCCTAGAAGAKGGGTTTAAAATAGTAGAAATCACAAATATACTTTTGCTATAGTTGGAAATTTTTTACTTGGAAAAAATCATTCATGCTAAGTTTATGTACTATGTCTAGCACTGTACTTAGTCCACAATAATCCAGGGTTCATCCTGTTTATAAACCTGAAGCAAGATTCATATTCCAACTCCTTACCTGGACTTCGCAGATCCACTTGACTCCTTGAAAAATTCAGAATGGTATTTACCAGGTACATATCCCACTGTTCTCCCGTTGCATTCAAACACCTAGAGTGGTGAACACTAAGCTATTTAGATTCCTGGAAGTAATAGCGATGTTTTTCTATCTCTTCAGACATTTGCTTTTCCCATACATGTGTGCCCCTTCCATCATGGGAATTGCTCTAATAATGTGATGTTAATATYCCACTTCTACAGATACCATGATTTATTTTTTTACAGATTTAGCTGTGACTGYAAGGATTTGGGTCAATGTCTAGGGCCTTGTAGAAGTGTCCAAGAGAGCTCAGGCTCCAGGTGCCAGTCAAAAGGGGTCAGTCCCACCCAGGCTCTAGAAATATGGAGATGTCCTGGAGATGGGGTTGACAAGGGGATGCACAGCAGGGTTCCTCGGGTGGACAAGGAAAGGAGCATTGCTCCCAGAGGTAGTCAGAGTGCAGATTCACTATAYGAGTTAGCATGCGGCATACAGAGAACCAAAACCAGGACATTGTAACTGGAGAAAATGTGAAAGGAAACGTGGACTCCAGGCGAGGCAGGGCAAGCTACCAGGCTCCTCATGCCTCTGTCTCAAAGCTGCTGCTTGCTAGCAGCTCTGCAAGACCATTGATAATAAAGATGATAAGGAACTTTAGGAGCAGTGTCAATATATTACATGATGAGTAGACCATTAGTACATTTGCTAATTTCTCTTCACCTTTATTCTTGGAACTGTTTGTGATAACCCTAATTCATTTCAAATATTTCACTTCATTTCAAAGGACTGTATTATAATAAGCATCAGTGTTTCTGTAAAATGTCACTTGTCTGGTCCCAGACAAATAGCATACTCCTTCTTTCTCCTTCTCCCTTTTTTTTTCTCTTGCATTTCTCTCACATTGAAAACCTAAGTCATTTTTATTTCTGTTTTTGCCCTTCCTGATCCATAGCATCTGATACTTGTATGTTTTCTTTCTCTCTGACATTATCCTAAGCTTGGTTATCATTGCTCCACTTCTAATTAACGTCCACAGATCCTTAGCTCACGACCTGCTTCCAGCTTCTCAAGCCCTAAATCCCTCCTTTGGTGGGGGTGGGGGGGGCTGTTCAAAACTCAACATTATTTATTTTTATGATTTCATCTAGTTGTAAAAGAATCTACTTACACTGTAGAAATAAAAGTGATACAACCAAGAGACAGGAAGACAGTTATTATAGAAAATGAGATCATACTTTCAAGATCCTAGGATAATTTATTAAAATTTGTTCAAATTAAAGAGAGTTTTCATTAATAGCAGCTATAAAGTAAGTTAGGATCAATTTCTTCACAGTACTCACTTTATGACA